CCAATATTTTGATTCATATGGAAGAACACCTGAGCGATATCATCTTCAGTTTTTGAAGAGGAATTGTAAGAGGTGGGACTGGAATGTTGATAGGATTCAGAATGATTGGACTTCGGTTTGTAGCGAATATTGCTTAATGTATTTGCTATTTAAGTTTCAGGGATGTTCAATGCATAGTTTTACGAACATATTTACAGGAAACACGCTGTACAATGATAATTTAGTGGATGAGATGTTCCACTCTTATTTTGTAAAATGAAAGTAATAAAATTTCGAAATAAAAATGAATGATTGTGTTTTATTGGTGATATAGAAAATCAGACAAAATGAAGTTAACAATGAGTAATAGATAAGAACGCCAAAGCAACCGTAATGAGAGAGTTCGAAGCACAATAGATAATGATAACGATAGGCGAACAATGGGACGTTAAGTAATGTAACGATAAGCAAACAAAGGAACGTTAATGAGGGTTCAGAAGCTGATTCTGATTTTCATAACTCCAGAACCACGCATCCTACGCTAAAACGGACTGCAGAAACGTGATCAGAGCATGCCAAAACCTAGGATAGCATACCAAACTTTTTTTTTTTTTTTTTTTTAGGTTTGGTGCCACTCAGATTTTAGATTCCGGGTGATTAGCTGGTTCTGGCGCGTGCGCCAGAAACAGCTAATCACCACTACTTATGATTTACCAATAGTGTCTAGGTATGTAATATTGAATGTAACCTTTTTTTGGGGAGGCTAAATCATCATTGGTCTACTCTTGCCCTAGGTAAGGCAATTTAATAAAAAGTTTAAATAGTTGAACTTGCATAATCTACACATCTCTTAATATCGTCTCTCTTTACGTCTATAAGTGTGGGAGAGCCATGCTTTGGCACGAATGGGTCGGCTCGACCGGAGCGATACTACGGCCACACAGAAAACCGGCGTGAAACAACCACAGTATTGTGTTTCGCCGTGTGAGTGAGGTTACCAGAGGCCCAATCCTTTCCCCTTCCCCAATCCCTCTCCAGTCCCTATATCTCCAAATCCCTAATCCCTAAAAGGTCGGCAACGCACTCGTAATTCCTTCGTTGCGGGTGTCCATGGGCGGCGCTGATTGCTTACCATCAGGTAATCCGTCTGATCGTTTGGCGACCTATAACATAAAAAAATCTCTTAAAAGAAAGTGTATCACACTTTTACCGACTAAAACCTCCGTGTTCCTTCTTCTACTTCAGGTTGGGGTCACAGTACTTTATTTCGTATGAACCGCAATCTCGGATATTGAATAAAACCTATCACTAGAACGTCTGTTTGGTAAAACTGCAACGAGAATGGATTTCTAAAAGAATAGATTCGAATAGGCTAATATAATAGACTTCCAACCATAATTAATTCATTTAAGAACAATGACGGATTTTAAAAGTGAAGCGTGGGAGGACTATGATCAAATGAATTTGTGCGTCTTTCCTGCACCTAAATTGGACATTTGACGTAGTGGAAAATAAAATAAAAAAATCGACTTCTCAATCCATATTTTCTTTTATTGATTTTACTATACTCTACTAATTTAAAACTGAGAAAGTTTGTTAGTATTCTGAACGTTTACTACTACTATTTTGCATAAAAACTACTAAATAGTTATCAAAAATAAATCACACATCGATAGATTTATAGACTGGAATAAGATAGGCTTTTCATTCGGACAACGTGGCATAAGCCGATGGCAAAAGCTGGTACATTAATAGTGTTCGTATTTTTCTTACTAATTTTCAATATACAATATCCTACTAAACTCATAGAAAACTTACGGCTTTGTCAATTGGAAAGAGCATTGAATTTGACTAGGTACTTAAAAAGATTTGACTACTCAATAATTTAATTTAATAAGTAGGTATGTAGTTTATCTGTCGATCCCTATATCCATGGATTTTTTATACATGTCCTTTAAACAGTGGAGAAATTTAGTATAAGTAGCATTGCACCCGTGCAAAGGCGGGGCTGGCTGTGTTTGTGTAGTTTTTAAATAAATAATTAAATTACCACTTCTCTATTTTGAGTATAGTAAAATTTCTCGATCTATTATAAATCATTCATTTCATTCACAAATCAATTTAAAAAGTAAAATGGTAAGTTCTTGGTCCCATGGAATATTCCATTGAATCTGAGGGGAAAAATGCAACAAAAACAAAAAATATTTTAACAGGGTATTAATTTCTTGTCAGCCTTTGCATAAATTGTATGGAAACATGGTTTTTGCATGTTTTTTTTTTTTGAAGGTCCTCAAAAATGCTTCGCTTCTAACGTACTTGATATTGATAATCTCGTAGTTTTTTTTTTTTAGGACGTAAGTCAAATGTATTCGCGCACTGAGTGGGGTCGCTTTTGAAATACAATCAGAAACAAACAAAATAGAGAAACGGATATACATTAATTTATTTAAAACCTACCGACCTGGCTTCCACGGGTACAATACTGATACTAACTTTTCTACTATTTAATTAACGTTTTTATACATTATATAAAACTTCGTCATTCACTCTTTCTATTAAAAAAACCGCATCAAAACCCGTTGCGTTGTTATCAAGATTTAAGATGGCATAGGGATATAGGGACAGATAAAGAGACTTTGTTTTTTACTATACAGTGATAGCGAAGTTTAAGCTTTTTCTTAAGTGAGGTAGCAAAATCGTAGCACTGCACTTACGAAGTTATTCAATAAATACAATTTACATGTATCTAGGTAGATAAGTGGATAAAAGTATGACACACCTATCTATGAAATCTTGATATTATAAGAGATAATACTTCGGACATTTTTATATTTCTTAAACGAGTTGTGAAAGGGTTGAATCAGTATCTAATAGAACTTATTATTTCACGTTTGGGTGCGAGGCGTAAAGTTAACCGCGTACGCGACACGTTCCACAATGGCATCAAATGAATATTCCATTCATATCTAATATTATTTCCATTAAGATTTTTATAAAATAATAAAAAATGTGTAAAAATATCATTACATATTTTGACACGTGTACCTATTGTTTGTTTTAATGTCACATTATAATTTGTTGATTAAAAGATACGATGTCTGGCTCAATCCTTCCCCTCTCTACATCGCTCTCTTATACTTAATATCCGAAACCCCAATTTCCTTTTTAATTTTTTAACGCCAGCAAAGTACTCGTAACTACTTAAGTGTCACGGGTATCCTTTGACGGCGCCAATAGCTTACCATTAGGTTGATAATAATAAGTGTGCTTGCTAGCCGAACTATTCTATAAAAAAATCTTTGTTTTTAATACTTGTACTGTACACAGCATTTCTTATTTCTGTTCTTAATTAAGTTACAACAAAGAGTTTCAACTACTCACTTACTACCAACTTAAAGTTAAAAATTCGTTAATTTATTTAAAAAATGACAAAATTGCAATATTTTGAATGATGTTAGTAATTCTCATCTAAAACAAAGTTCAATAGGGTGACAATTTGAAGAGCGCTTCCACTAAGTAAAAAAAGCACTTTAAAAAATTAAAAATGGATCGTTAAATGCTGCATCACTTCTCTTTTTAATTAAAAGCTTTTGGGCTCTATAAGTATAGTATAGTAGGTTGTTAATGTGACAATACGTTTCATTAGGACACATAATTATAAATAAATTAAAATTTATTCTTCTTATTTGATTTTTTTGTATTGTTTTCTTCTTTTAAAAAAAATACTCCTGTGCAGGTACAAACATATATTATTCACATGCACTGTACTAGCCTTGAACTGGACTTGACTTGAAGCCGTGCTTGGAGCACCAAAGAACAGTTCATTGCTAGAATTCCACACACACATCCTCGACACATTGATCTGCAGTCGGTTACCCAACCGCTGTGTCAACCGTGCGTACCACTGCGTAATCACAACTTAAAGCCAAATTTAAACCATCTTTTACAAATACACCATATACAGGATAGGTCCTTTGAAACAACAAAAATAGTCTGCCAGTTTGTCTGTCTGTCAATGATATTCTCGTCCAAAAATGATGTAGATTAATTATAGTATTTGATTTAATTCATAGACAAACCAGCAAGTAACTCTTCTGTTACGCTTTTTGAATCTATAGGTTGTTATTTATTTTATGATAGGGGTGTAAACAAGCAATCGGATCCTGTGATGGTAAGCAATCGATGTTTCACGCTGGTATTCTTTGGCCGTGATGTCATTCCGGCTTTGTACCGAAGCATGGCTTCTTCTCTCACATTAACATGTATAAATAACAAAGTAACATTATTTTATTAATCAATAAAATAAAGTAGCACTATTTTAAAAGATATAAAGTACACTTTTCATTTGCCGTAATATTGGGGAAGAGTTGGGCGATCATAGAAATATTTGATCAATTTATCATCAAAAAATAATGCATCCAATACTCTAGGGGTTGTCTAAAAGCCGGTAACGCTGACTAATTGAATTAACTGCGGATAGAAGACTCCAAAATTTCCGCGAATCGTACGCCATTTTTTTTATTTTTTATTTTTATACGTACCTAAATATTAAGTATGTTTTGTAACGCTTGTATAGTTTAGCGGGGAACGAATGAATAATCTCTAAAAAAGACTCCTAATCCTTGAAATAATAGCCAAGTCGTGAATCAATAGTCTGAGTTCATAAGTAGTAGGTTTTTTTTTTGTGAGGAATCAATCAATCATCAAATGACTTCTCCCGCCCAGGGCCGGGCAGGAGGGAGTGTCAGACTCTTACTGACTAAAAACCCCCCTGTTCCTTCTCTTGCTCTATGCCGAGGTCGCGGTACCTCATTGCGCTTACCCCGCAACCCCGGCTATAAGTAGTAGGTTTAAGAATCTGATTATTTTTATAAAAATATAATTCATAGAAATCGTAAGATATCTCGAAATAGGGAAAATATTCACTCAAAATAATACTCTTCAATCTTGCGTCCATTGTATAACAGCCCTGCTCATATAAAAGGGGACGACAAGCCACACAGCAGCACAGTCAAGGCATAGCTCCCAAGGAAACGGTCGTATAGTATCACTCAACTGATTTCGATTTTGGAACACCATTTGTTTTCAAATTACATTCCATTCTGTGGACTTTGTGACGTCGAAGAATTTGATCGGCTACCTTTAATTGAAAGGTGAGTTCATTTTTTTCTTTTATTTTTTTATTGAAATGGAATAATTGTGCAGTAATTGAATTTCTGTATTTTCTTTAACGATAAATTAAGAAAAGGACTTTGTCAACCCCTGTCTTCTAAGTACCTATTTTTCTCATGCACTCTGTATTAGAAATATTAAACTTGCATTTTGATGATTGTAACGTCATAATTATTATTCGAAATAATCTGTACTTAATTCAAACAATATCAACACTAAACAATAACACAAGTTATTGATATTTAAAACATGATGCGTAAAAACAAACAAACTAAGTACACGAAGATGTGGGATGGGAAAAAAATAAAAATAAAACAACTTTATTTGCATTCTCTGGTCTCAAATTAGGAAAAATAAAAAGCAAATTGTTAAAACGTACTCGGAATGGTTGCAATTACCAATATAATCTCAAACATATGTATTGCTTTTATAACGACGTTGTCTGTGGTCTTTTATTACTTGTAAAATAATACTTAATAGGTACATACAGATGAGTCCCTTAGTAGTTTTAAATGGTGACAGAATATTCTAATTAGTTTCACATTCATTTTGGAACCATCAACCCCTAGTGATATCTGTAATCCCCAAACCAATTGCCAAATGTGGGGATAGCCATTGTCTCTTTAGGATTGTCTCCAGTAGTGGACTTCTTCTAAAATTGTAAATGATGGTGATACGACACTATATTTTGGTCGATGCTTAATAATTTTTCGTTGTTATCTTCTTTGCGTGGAAATGAAAACACAGAATCTCTCTGTAATTATCGGTTACTGCGCACAAAATTAAATCTTAGTATGGCCAAGCACAAATCTTATATCAAGAGTACAAAACTCCTAGTGGCCCAGAGGATAGAGAGGCAGTTAAGAGTTAAAGAGAGGTCCTCGTTTCATGTATGTGGGTTAACGTTCAAAACCTAGAAGCTACCAGTGTAACCTTTTTCGAGTTTAAAATACTTTTTCTAGGATATCCTTGCGTTGATTTATACTCCGACATAGTATGGGAAATGTATAGAGTATTCTGAAAACCGAAAAATTCTGACAAAACCGAACTCGAAAACACGTAGGAAGAGTTTTTTAATTCAGATTTAAAAACGTAAAACATACCAAAACTATTTATGAAAAAATAGTCTGTTCTAATATATCTAAAAAGGGATCTACCCACGGAGCAAAACATAATCTATATCATTTAGCATAAGGACTAAATCTAATTGCCGTCAACACCATCATAAGTTGGAGATTGGAGTGGTCATTTATAAGGATAAGTTAGTAGAGTCCAGACTCTGAACAAAGTGAAGAAATTACTCAGTATAGTACATAGTGTAATATAATGATATTGTACTAGTTTTGTAGTTGTGGAACTGTTTCAACTGCTTTGTAAAAAGTCTTTATTGGTTTTGATTCCCGGATCAGACAATATTCCACGAAAGAATTTTCGCTCTTTAGCTAATTCACACTTAGGAGTTTTGAATAGTTCTCAGTATTTGGCAATAGGCTATCATGTAAGTCACGGGGCAAGCGCATTAAGGTACCGCAGTTTCGTTTTGGAGCAGGAGAAGGAACGTGGGGGGTTTTAGTCAGTAAGAGTCTGTCATACCCTGGGCGAGAGAAGTCATTTGATGGTTTTCGCTCCACACACAAAACAAGTCTTTCATTATTGATGGAACTCAAAATTATCTGACTGGTATAGACTAGATATTTTGTTGTCAATATTTAGCACTATATGTCCTTTTCAGACATTACAGGAAACCATTTACGTATTTATTGTAACAACAAAACCAAACAAAGTAAGGTAGATTGGACAAAAATAAATTCAGGATTAAGTCAAAAATTGTGCAACAATTGTGAAAAAAAAAATTACACCAAACCGCGGCGGCGAACGCCGGCGTTCGTGTACCTGTTTTTCTTCTATTGTATCTCGAATCACAACGATTGAAAACTAAAATAAGTAAATAAAATCCAAACGAGACGAGACGAAATCCTCAAAATTTCGTTCCATTCATGACATCACATGAAGACATATCTAAGTGACTTCCAACATTCCTTATCACCCTTTAACGGCTAGTATAGCCATGAGCTAATAAAAGAACCACGTCTACAGACACTATATACACAGCTTCCTTGTTAGAAATATGATCTCAATGCTTCTTCGATGACCAGAGGTAATTATTGAGGAACCTGGGAACTAATGACGTGAAGTTAAGGGGGTATGTGCAATGTTATTGTAACGTTTTCTGTTTAGTTTAAATGGAAATAAACAAGCGAATTTCAGTCTTATATCTTCGTTGTATTAAATGGTTTGAATGTTTTTCTTGCGGATGAGAAGCCTAGTCATGGTATTTCAAGCCTTAATTTGTTTATGTAGGTATGTTTATTAATTGAAGATACCTTTCACATATGTATTAAGCAAATATTTTGTTCACTTAACTCTATTTAAAGTTTCTAATGTGTTTCGTTCCTAGAAATTAACTCACCTGAAAAAAAAATATCTAAAAGTTTTAATTTATTTATAAAAGATATCAGATTCAGTTTTATGAACATCTTGAATTTTACATTTAAAATATCCAATACCGAAGTGACTACCTTGATAGAAATAGATTAATGACTGTAATGAACCAAATCAGCACGATAAAAAAGGACTAGGATAAAAAAAAGGAATATAAATATACCAAGATTTTCCAGATTTTTTTATATCCAACTCATTTTTCTTAAGGACAAGATAGGACAAAACTAACCACAATTTTAGAAACATCAAAAACAGCTTATTTCAATATCATCATCAACAACGACAACAACAACAATAACAACGACAACAAAACAAAAACAAAAACAAACAGATTCATATAATAAAACCACACCTTACCTAACAGAAAACGATGTAAAGTTACAGAAAATTATCATTAACTTGTTCAATTACAAGTATCTTGGTTAAATGATAAAGTACTTAAATTTAATACGTACATCCCTTTCTTGGTCTTATAATTGTATAACTTACTATTGTGTTTTAACAATTGTGTTTCCTGATTGTCTTACCTTCATGAATACATAATTATGAAGTTGACAGCTTTACATTTGTTCATTAGAGAGTAAGTACGTGTATGCAAACTCTAATCAATGTGGTGGAGACATGTTTCGACACGAATTTAACCTTAACCTGACAGAAAACTGGCGTGAAAGAACGCTTGCTTGTTTTAATATAGTGACTGCACGGTTGCTGTGGTGGCTGGGCAACTGGCTGCCGTGCAACGTGACGCGGAATTGATTCCAGCACGGAACAACTCTTTGTGTGATCTACAAATTGTTATTCCGGGTCTGGGTGTCATGTGTCTATAAAATTGTATGTTTGTAACCGCACCCACGACACAGGAGAAAATGCTAGTGTGGGGCAACGTCTTTAAAAAGAAATAGTCATTTCTTACCTCCAAAAGGCAACAGGCTACCAATGTATAAGCTCCTATTTTTGACTTCTACGAGTATAGTCCAGGGTGGACCTAGAAAGGGACCTGTTAGACTCTCACTAACTAAAAATGTCCCCGTTCCTTCTCCTGCTTCAGGCCGAGGCTGCGGTACCTGATGGTGCTTGTACCGCAACACCAGCAAATCCTCTGTGCTTTTGTAAATCCTTTGGTATCAACTGCGTACCTTCAGGCAATCCATCTCCTATATATTTTACTAGCTTTTCTCGCGAAGTTTCATCCGCTGCGCCATTTGATCGTACCGTAATGTTAATCTTTGTATACCTATATAAAAATGGATCACAAAATGTGTTGGTAAGCGCGTAACTCAACAAAGCCTGGACCAATTTTGCTAATTCTTTTTTTTGTTGTGTTTGATATTGTCAGGAGAAGGTTCTTATCAAAAAAAAATATTAGAAAAGTAGAGGGGAAGATTGGGAAAAAGTGACCCTTTGGTAGCGAGATAGTTGGACCCGTGCGAAGCGAGGGCGGGCCGCTAGTTATAACATATAAGCCTTCCTCGATAAACGGACTAATGAACAACATAAACGATTGTTTAATTCGAACCAGAAGTTCCAGATATAGTAGCGCATTCAAAAAAACAAACTTACTCTAGTACAGCTGTATAATATGGAATAAAATAACAATTTGTAGACCCAGTAGCTAAACAATGGTACTAAATCAATCTTCATTTTTGTAACTGCATTGTTGCATACCACATCAGTTAGCTGACCACTCGTACTTGTGGTACGTGAAAATCGGAAAATAACTTTTGAACTGTTTGTAATTCTTTCTAATTTATTTAATACTAAGAAGAAATAGTAAGAAGGAATAGTGACTTCCTGCTGATTTGTGGTATAAAAACTATCCTATGCCCTTTCTCGAGTTCCAAACTATGTCTGTACCAAATGTCACAGAAATCGGTTCAGTAGTTTAGGCGTGAAAAAAGAGAGACAGACAGACACTTTACTTTCGCATTTTTATTATTAGTTTGGATTTCTTTGTACAAAGGAGGTTGTCATGGTGTTTTCTTTTAAGAGGAAATCAAATGGCTTTTTTGGTTCTGGGTGAAGCGAGAGGTAAATTCAGATAGATAGTAACCCCCTATTCCTTCTCCTGCTCTAGGCCGGAGGATCGCTGTACTGGACTCAACATTAGCCCTGTGCCCCACCATTGGTGGTCTTTTAACCCTAGGTATGCCGGAGCATATACGCGAGACACAATGTGTTTTCTATTGTGTCTCATATACCGGCAGACTAGCGGTTAATTCTTTGAGGCAAATCGTCAAAATACTACGATAGTATTTAAATTCTAAGATCTGCAAACTGAATTTAATAGTTTCCCGTTATATAATTGAACATCAATCAAATTTTGGCGTCTGGCAATTACGTACAACAATAAAACGTGATCGACCACAGAGAACTGTATATTTGAATTAGGACCGTGAAGGTTTTAGTTAATTTTCTGAAATAATGATCCCGAGGAACATTTTCTTCTAGTTGCGAATAAAAATCACGTTTTTTCGTTTTA